TTAAATATTTTAAGAAGTAAAGAAAAGATTGTTAATATACTGCATGCACTTATTTATTAATTCAGTGATCATTTTTTTTTTTAGCAAAGAATACAAGGTTAGTTTCTCAGGATTCCACAGTAAATAAAATAACTAGAAACTTGACTTAGGGTATATATGATGCAACAAAATAAGTGCTAGAACAGAAAGGGAAGCAGAGGCTATTGCATTAATTTACAGGTGGGGCATCTAACCAAAACAGAGAATTCAGAGGAGAAAGCTGAGGGAGGAGTGGTAATCAAAAGCCAGGTTAGGAATGACCTTTTTCTCCCTATCACAGAGATTGATTATTATCCTGCTGGCTACAGGGAAACACTCACTAAATTTAAGCAGCTAAGTGATAAGATCAGATTTATCATTTATCTTCATACTGATGTGTGTGGAACGAATTGAAACTGAGCAAAACTAGAGGTCCTAAGCTGATAAGAAGACACAGCAGCCTAGCTGAGAAATGACAGGTGCCTAAGGCCATGGCCATGGCAGTGAGAATGGAGAAGAGGAGACAAATTTAGGAGACATTGTGAAATAATGGAACTTGGAGATTGATTGGATACTGTAGACTTTGAGGGAGATGCGTCTGTAGAGGAAGTCTTTAGGATGATTCCCAGATTTTGAATTTGGTGATTAGGAAGATATTATTTCATTGTTTCATTGTATCCATTTAAGTGAAGAAATCAGGGTGCCTGGGTGGCTCAGTTGGTTAAGCGACTGCCTTCGGCTCAGGTCATGGTCCCGAAGTCCTGGGATCGAGTCCCACATCGGGCTCCCGGCTCAGTGGGGAGCCTGCTTCTCCCTCTGACCCTCTCCCCTCTCAGGCTGTTTCTCTCTCTCTCTCTCTCTCTCAAATAAATAAATAAAATCTTTAAAAAAAATAAGTGAAGAAATCAAAAGCAAGAATCAGGGAACTGGGTGTTAAGAGTGGATATCAGCTTTGGATATGTTAACTGTGTGATGACTGCACACAACTAGCTATATAGGTATCCAGTTCAGAGAGAGACATGGGCTGGTAATATAGTATTTGTAAGCCATCAGGTTAGAGGTGAAAATTGAAGCCACAGGAGGGAATGAAATCAACCCAAGGAGAATATGTAGACAGAGACTAGTGAAACAAGGTGAAGTAGGAACTCTGGTAAGACCTATATTTAGGGGTTGTCCTAAGTAAAGGGAGCTCAAAAGAATCTTCAAGATGGACTTTGGCAAAAGCAGTTTGTGCAAGAAGGTAATAGAGATTTGGTGCTGTGAGCTGTACTATGCTCCCGCCAAATTCATGTGTGGAAGTCCGAAGCCCATGTACCTCAGAATGTGATTGTGCTTGGAGATACAAATATTAGAGAGTTAATTAAATTAAAATGAGGTCATTAAAATGGGCTCTAACCCAATATTACTGGTGCCTTTATAAAAAGAGGAGGTTAGAACTCAAACAGAAGGAAGAGGCTGGGAAGATACAGGAAAAATGTCATCTACAAGCCAAGGAGAGAGGCCTCAGAAGAAACCTGATCTCAGACTTGTAGCCTTTCAAATTGTGAGAAAATAAATTTCTGTTGTTTGAACCATCCAGTCTGTGATACTTTGTTATGGCAGCCCTAGTGAACTAATATAGTTAGGGAGTTAATGGGAAATGCAAAAATTGAGACGGCAAATGTAGATAAGAAGAGTATGTGGAGATGGGTGTTTCCTTCTTGTGTTTGTGTTTTTTTTTAATGAGAGTCTTGAAGTATTTATTTATATATTAAGGGCAGGGTGGAAGATGAGAGAGGGGTTGACAGAAGGCTTAAGAAGATAATTAACAAGGCACTTGACGTGGAATCCAACATATGGAAAGACACACTTTCTACTGAGACAGAATAGAAGGATGTTAAGGGTGGACTGAGTAAGAAGTAAGTTTGTACACAAGGACAACCTTGAAGAAAAAACTAGAAAATTCTTTTCTAGGCTTTGGTATTCTCTGTCAAGTTGAAGCTAATGCCATCTACCGAGCTTAAGGCCAACACGGTCAGATGAGGAGCTTGAGGGGGATGCTGGAAATTTTAAACCACCCCTGTGTGGACTGGGGAGGAGTGCAGCCTGGGGGGAGGTGTGTGGACCAGCTGAGCTGTGTGGAGGCCCTGGGTGAGGGTATAATGCCAAGAGTTCTTATATCATTATGAATTTCTCTAAGCAGTACAAGTTTACAAGAGGGGCAGAAAACTAATAGGGTTCACCAAAAGTTGGAGTGTTTCTGGATTATAGAAGGAATAGAAGTCAAGGGCATTGATAATATTATCAAGAGTGGTCAAAATGGATCTGGATTGATTCTAGGAAGGAATTGAAAACCGGAGGAGCAAGATGGAATGGGAGGAAAGCCAGTGCCAAAGAACTGGATCTCGATGGGGTCCAAGAGTAGGTTTGTGGTCACAAGTGAGAGTGAGAGCTGAGAGATGGGCCAGTTGCAGTGAGGCAAAGGGTTAAATGTTGGATTCCCCAGTGTTTGGAATCCACATGCAGCACAGTTCTGGTGAACACAGCTAAGGATGTGGTTCCAGATGTGAGTGGCTCTGGCAGAACAGACACAAGAGGTTAAGAGGCAACAAAAAGTTACTGGCAGAGTCCACAGGATATAAAAGTCACCCAGGATTTGGGAAGGACTGGGGGGAAAGGACAACTAGAATCCAGGTGCATTTTACAATTCTTTGTTGATCTCTTAAATCTTACATATTCATGGTGACCCAGGTTTAAAGAAAATGGTAATAAAAACCTGAAACCTGATTTACCAATTGTTACTTTCCAGAACAAAAGTGGAGAGGACCAAAGAAAGACAAGGGAAAAGGAACTGATTTGTACATGACACCATCCCTGTTTTCTTCCCCATAATTGCAGGCTTCAGAGGTTCAGTATTACTTCTGATTTATTAAATAGCCAGTAGACCTTGACCCGTAATATGAATGCTAATTATGCATTGAATCGTAGCAAAGTCTTTTACTAATTATATTCTTTATAAAAAGAATGATAGCAAATATTTATTGAACGTTTGCTATGTGCCGATAACTTCCCGGGTGTTTTAGACTCATTTATCTTTACGAGATAGGCATCAGTATTTCTATTTTACAGATGAGGGAACTGAGGCAGGATGAGGAAGAATAATTTACCCGAGATATCACTGCTGCTTAGGAGTGGAGCTGGGATTCCAACCTATGTACTATGTCCTGGGGAGTCAGAGAACCAGAGCCACTCTTGAGAGAAGAGGCACTGAGGGAGGGTGAATGTGTCAGAGTCAGATGTCATTAGTACGAAATATTCCTCATACACTGATAGTTTGGTAGAATTCTTTCAAAACATAAAAGACAGTAAATTACTGTTGATGAGTAACTAAGACAGGATTTTAAAAATTAATTCATCCAATAAAAATTTGTTGAGCATCATATATACACATATATTGAGTAGAGTATTAGTATAACAGGCTGTAAGGACGTATAAAATGCATTCTTTGCCTTCAGTTCCTATAATAAAATACGCAAAAAAGGAGGCAAACTATTCCATTGGATATTAAAAGGTGTAGGAAGAAATTCTTTCTAAGAAGTCAAAATAGAGATTTCCATTGAATAAGTTCATGTTCTTTTACATATGGTAGAAACATATTTGGCTATTTCCCAAGACCATCACAGATGAGAGTGAGGGGAGCACCAGCAGCTGGAGCACTAAGGAAGTAATGTTGGGACTTCAGCAAGCCCCCAGCCAACTCCATCAGCACTCCTCCTCAGCTGACACCAACTCACCATCCAGGCCCACAATCCCTGTCTGCTTTTTATCAACTTGATGCCAAGACCCATTTGGAGGCATTATTCTGATTGGAACTGATAAAAATTTACTAGAGTCTTCATTTCTCCCACTTTATGTGAAGATCAGTTAGTTTTGCTACAGAAATATTAATGTGCTTGGTTATGAGATGCTGCTCCCAACTCCCCTGGGGGTGTAAGTAATATACGGGGTAAGCAACACATCATCTTTGTAAAATCCAAAATACTGACTACAGAAACCCATCTATTTCCAGGGTTGTAAATAGAGAAAACAGTGTATTTACTCTCCAAATGTAGCTTCAAGATCAGTCATGGGCAAGGTTCTGGCCCTGACCATCTTGTGTCACTCACAGCCATTCCTACCCCTAGAGAGAAGCTAAGAGGCTGGTCACAGTGACGAAGACAGGAAAACTGTATGACACAGACCTGAGAACTAAAAACCAAATAAAGTAAGATGTCAACAACCCTTCTTCCATCAGCAATGACAAAGGTCACCTTATCTTTGGAGTATTCTTTTTTAAGAAAGTGGAACATTTTGGGGCGCCTGGGTGGCTCAGACGGTTAAGCGTCTGCCTTCGGCTCGGGTTATGATCCCAGGGTCCTGGGATCGAGCCCCACGTCGGGCTCCCTGCTCAGCGGGTAGCCTGCTTCTCCCTCTCCCTCTGCCTGCCACTCCCCCTGCTTGTGCTCTCTCTCTCTAATAAAAAATTAAAAAATTAAAAAAAAAAAGTGGAACATTTGTAATAACCTTTAGAAAGATGATCATCTTCCCTTCAAAAAATGTGCTTAAAGAAGGTAAAAACCTGGCATGAGGGGGAAAAATCAATAATCCAACACGTTCCCTGAAATTTGTGGGAAAATGATTCTATGCTGGCCTTACAGGTACAAAAAAAAAAAAAAAAAAAGGATAATGTGGTCACACGTAAAAGAAATGCCAGTCAAATAGTCCAGACTTTAAAATATTTAGTATTCATGGGAGAGCAGGATCGCTTCAGGCTGCAATGAGTAGGGACTGTTTTACAACATTATTAAAAAGAAAAGATATATTAACTACATTTATTTAAAAGTATATGTGTTTTGGAAACCGTTGCGAGTGACCACAGTGATAAAGGACTTTGTGAAAACTGAATAAAGTAAACTTTATGGGTCACCAATGGGACCATTGAAAAAAAAAACAGATTATTGTAGCTCCTGATTCAGAATAAGTGAATTATTATTCTTTATTTTTATCTTGCTTAGACCAAAAAAAATCTCTCTAATGGTGACAAATATTGGTCCTTTAAACAGAGGGTTCCAGTTTGTGGATGGTTCTAGAGAAATTTAGGTGACTTTCAGGAAGGTGGTTAAGTTTGGAGAGGCATTGGGTAGAGCAAAAATCATTTTAAGAAATGGTTTAACAAGAGCTAGAGGGGTTTGAGGTGAGTGAAAACAGCCACTCACATTAGTCAAGCAGGACTTACCTAGGGGAATGCTGAGGAAAAAACCAATGTCAAGAAGAGTTTTGATTTGTAGGCTAGCAAAAAGTGAGCTTAAATAGCATGAGCAGTGTACCCAGGACTTAAATCAGCATTAATTTAATTTTTATTTTATCAGGCTTTTAGATGATTCTTTTAATGGAGTCTAAGTATTTGCCAAAACTATTACTAGGCGCCCATCCCTGAGGGTTGACTGTAGACCACTGTATGTTTTCTAAAGAGATCGAAGCTACACCTCCTCTTCTTTCAGTCAATTTTATATGCCCATCAGATTCTTAGTCTACTGAACTTTTCACATTATTTAGTGTTACATTTATTGAAGTGGCTTTTCAGCTTAAAGCTGAGCAATATGTTTGCTTCTGAGGAGACTTACTTCATAGGCCAGATAAGCCACGTTCCAGGGTCTGCGGTAGTAGACCAAGGTGTTTCCATCCCGAACGCGGTCACAGTGTCCATTGTAGTACTCATTGTCAAAAGGTGTGCTTAGGGGATCCATCCCTAAGACGTTGATGCTGAAAATGAACAGAGTAGCATCAGATATGGAAATCCCAGGAGCTAATGCAAGGCAGTCCTCTGTAGCTTGGGAAAGAGAAGGCTTTGGATTATGTCCCCATCACCCCATATATGCGTGATATAATCAGGAACAGAAGCAAGAGTCTGCTCACTTCTGCTTTATGTCTCTGGCAGCAAGCATACGTTAGGAAGGCCTTATAAACTTCCAGGCAACTAGGGCATTGTTGGGAGCACAATGAAAGAAATGCAATAACTAGGGAGCAAGGGACCATCTGGCTCCTAGAGTCTTAACTCCACTGCTGTAACTCTTAGCTAACCTCCCTTAGTGAGCTAAGAGCCAACTCTGTAGTACCCTATTTAAATTATTTGAGAACAGAGCATCTCGGGGGGGGGGGGGCAGTATAACATATGCATGTAATTTTTAATCTATGAATCAACATTGGGGCTCTTTCTCTCCCCATTCTCTTTAAACTGAAGCCTTTTCCTCCAGCTGTCTCATTGCTTGTCAAGAACCTCATTCCCTCCAGGCTTATATTATTTCTACTATACTTTCCAAGGGGAAATACAAAAATTTCAGCATCCTGACAAGGCATTCTCAAAAGTTCTACTTTTTCCTCTCAGCAAAATATTTTTATTTGGCAAGCTTTAATTCAGAAACAGAAATCTTATCTAGCTTTAAAAAAGTTAAGTTTGATTTGTAGACCTAAAAGCAATGTATGAACAAGGAGCAGTTCATTCTCTGTGAAGTACACTTCTGTTAATCAGAACGGTCATTGCTGTCTAGTCTGGAATATATGGCTCCAGACCAGGGAGGCCAAAAAAGAGGTTTGATCTGCACATCTATAACTGAGTTTGACACAAAAGCAGAAATTCTTCCATGGATCTAGACCACATCCCAAACTCCAATGAACTGGATTATAAATCTAGATGTTGGTTTCAAGAGTAATATGTCAAAGGGTGTAGATGGTTTACTCTAAAACCCATTGCTAATGAAAGAAAAATAATTGAAAGATTATCTTACTGCCAGTGGTTTAGTTAAAAACAACATCTTCACATAAACTGCACATTCTTTTTTTTTTTTTTTAAGATTTTATTTATTTATTTGAGAGAGAGAGAGCTCAAGTGGGGGAAATAGGCAGAGGGACAAGCAGACTCCCTACGGAGCGGGGAGCCTGATGCAGGGCTTGATCCCAGGACCCTGAGATGATGACCTGAGCCAAAATCAGATGCTTAACTGACTGAGCCACCCAGGTGCCTCCAAATGGCACATTCTTAATAAATGTTGAATCTACAAAGAAAACGACATTATAGCTCAACTTTAAAGGAAGGTAAGTTAAGGAACCAATTCAGGAATATCTTTCTCAGAGCTAACTGTATAGTTAACCACTTCTGACTTTTTGCTCTATGAGAACCTTTCATGAAAAATGCTATGGCCCTAAAGTTTAATATAGGGCCAAAAATTAGGCTTAGTTGAGTAAGAAAGAAAAAAGAGACATTATTATCTGGTTTACTTTCTCAAACATCTAATGCCTCATGGTAGGTTAACATTTCAGCTTCACTTCTTCACCCATCCCTGCATCTACAGCAAATGAATAATACCTCCCCGCCCCCCCTTTGGTATGACTAAGGTTTTGATACAAAGACATGGAACACTGGAAACAAATTATCTGTGTTTGTTTCTTAAACAAGCCCTGCAGTACATTTTCTTTGTTCTATAGTGAACTTGTCCTTCATAAATCTGTATTAACAGAGACTCTGTACCTCTTCACTTTCAGGGAACAATGACGTTAATCTTTGTTATAATGATGATTAACTCTTGGGTGACTATGATATCTACACAGAGTGTAGTATTTGTAGTAAATAGTGAGTAATATTAAGAGAGTTAATACGCAGTCTTTGATCTCATGAAAATTATATTCAAATTATGGAGTTGGACACATAACCACCAATTTCAAAAAAGAGTCCAAGGTCAAATACACGTGCGCCAAATAAGTAGCACAGGCAAGTGCTGTGCGGGTTCCCAAAAGGAAGAAACCCCATGGCAGGGTCATAAATAGAGATTAGAAGAAGTAGGATTTGATTTGGGTGCTGCAGAATGGGGATGGAAGGGCAGGAAGAATGGTGTGCACAAAAGCCTGGAGGAGGAAATGTGTATGGCATGGTTTCGGGTAGTAGTCTTCAGATTTTCTGCTTGTCTACTCTATGAAAACATGATGACAAATTTTGCCTGCCTGCACAGTGTTGGTGTGACATCTAAGATTTTTCATCTTAAGTTTAAGTAGTTGCAAAGGATATAATTTCTCAGCAGGCTATAAATATTTACATCTTAAAGTACAGTTATTTTGCCTCTTTTTAAAATAAATCCAGTGAAATATAAATGCCATAGTGATGGTGGGTATCAAATCGCTGCAATGTTTATCTTTCTTTAGCAACTAGAGATTTTATGATATTCCTTTTTATTCTAATTTCTTTTTAAAGACACTTTATTTTTTAGAGCAGTTTTAAGTTCATTGCAAAATGAGTGAAAGAGACAGAGATTTCCCATATGTCCCTACCCACTTTTGATTCTTGAATCCATACTTCTATTTCCACCACAGAAGTTTAACCTCTTGTAATGTTATTTTAGCTCGGAGGTTTTAATGGATCACTTGTTTATACTTTTTTGTACCAAAAAGGTATTAATTGAAATTTAAAAAATATTAAGTATCCTTTAACTATCGGGTCTAAATAATTAAAAACTCCTCTGGATTGAGTTATAATTATTAGCAGTATATATATTAAAATGTTTTTTTTTTTTTTTTGGAAAGGTGTCTCAGTGAAATGAACGGGGCGTCTTTTTTAATTAAGTGATTAGTTCCTGCCTTCATAGATGGATACTACTTATTGCTAGAAAAAGACAAGATTCAGGATCGACTGTATTCTTACTTTCCATTTTTATAGACACAAATCCTGAGAAACTTTACTCATGTACATAAGTGGAAAAGAATAGAAGGAATTTTGTCATGGCAATGTCACTTGATTCTTTGATCTTCTGAGTTTTGTGCCAAAAAGAAAGATCACAGACTAGTTTTTCATTAAAAATTATTTGTATAGCCCATTATCTGATAATTGATTACAATATCTTTCAAAGAGAATTGGAGATGGGTTGACTTACAAGGCACTGGAGTCCAACTGAGCACCAATATTTGGAAATGTTTTTTGGTTTTCCCACCACAGAGTAAAATTGAGGTGGGTGAGGGCGGTACTCTTCTTTTGGACGGTGAAAGTTAGGTGATTACAAAAGGGGACTGCAGAGGGGAGAATGGGCTTCACAACTTGGATGCCACGGGGTTGTTAAGCTTCTCAAGTTTATGAAAAATACGTATGTATGGAATAAAAGATTTACTGTTGGTTCAATAGATTAGTTAAGCCACTAATAGTTGAGGAAACTATTACCTTAAAACTTACCTGTCTCCCCCTTAGAAAGTCTTTTTGCACCCCACAGTATGCATACCCCACTTTGAAGGTTTTATTTTACAGAACAGCAAACTGACTAGTTGGCTGGATCCATCTGGAAAGTTACAATGAAACTGCTCCACAGTCTAAAGCACAACTAAGGAAGAAATGTTTCAAAACTTTTGACTTGGTTCCACTACTACAGAGACAGCCAGTCTAGTCTAGAATGAGCCAATTTTTTTTTTTTTTTCGGCCAAGAAACATGAAAACTTCTCATGGATGGAATGTCATCGCCTGGGAAATAAAAAAATCATGTGTATTTTGGCAGCACCTAGAGATGCCTGTTTTCATGCCAGCATCTAGAACCATAGGCAGTTCCCATTTACCAGGTGACCAGAAAAGAAAGCTCCCTCCACAGAAGGGGTGCTATGCTTAGATCACATAAAAAAGTAACTCATTACCATACATCATTTACAGCTGGTTTGGATTTATATTTTTTCAATGAGTGCAAGTTAGGGGATTTCCCTAAACACTTCTGGAGAATCTCAAATGCCTACAAGGCAAGAGGCGGAAATATTTGTGATACAAGGGAATTCTGCTGGCATTAAGAATTTAAGGGGGAGTCCTTCAAATGAAAAAAACAGGTACAAATTAATGACTGTGGGTACTTGTACTTTCATGTATGAAAGAGTCTGATTGTATATGACTGCTCATAAGACTTGTTGAGATTTTCCAGATTGGATTGTGTAGAAGCAGTTTATAAGTCTGTTGCTATGACGAGGGTGTTTACTCCTATTACCTCTATTCAATATATCCCAGAAACCCTTAGAAGAGTAATGGTGATGCATGGTAAATAAATACATAATGTTCATGGGATTGAGGAATATCACCAATATAATAAAGCATGCCATTTTGAGAACTCTTCTTAAATATTAATCACCGATTTCTACTCTTCTATACTCTTAATTCAAAAATTCGGATAATTAATAGCAACTTAAGGAGTTTCATTGGTTAGTTTTGCTTTGAAGCTAGGGTGTTGATTTACAGGTTTTGCAGTGATGGGGGAAATGATGTGGGTGGAGATGAGCATGTGGGGAGAGGCCAAGGTAAGGTGGCATGGTGAAAAAAATACAGTTTTATAAAAGTCAGAGAAACTTGGGTTTAGTTCCACTGGAAACTAAAGAGTTCTGCTAGAATCTAAAGAGATAAAATGGTCTTACTTGCTTCTCTCATTTTTCTTTTTTCTGTAAAGTGAATGTAATACCTCCCCTGACAACCTCAGGATTATTATGAAAACTCTATAGAGAAAAAAATGTAGAAAAGAAAGTTCAAAGTATTATGCAAATGAAAGCTGTTGGAGAATAATAGGCTTTAGGAAGACTAGTTATAGGTAATTGTTCATGGTAATGGGAATTTAATAAAAAATGCTGGTAGATTTATTCTATGAGGACCTACCTCATTTTTCACCTCTTCAGCCAACCTTCCCCATAACTGGGATCACACCCTCTTGCTTGGTCCTGAAGACTCAGCCCTGTGTCATTCCCTGTCACCAGCCCTTACCGTGGCAAAGCATGATATATTTAGCCAGCTCTCTAGGATGCCTCATTATGAAACTCTCTAGCAAATGTTATATAAGAAATTTTTTTCTCTGAACAAAGAAAATGAATAGATTGTGAATGATTATTTTTCAGCTGAGAGGGCTACAATTTCTGTATCCTTTCACAAGGTGCAAATTTGCATTGAACGAAAATACATAATATATGCAATGCCCTGCTTCAAGCCCATCTGTTTAGATTAAGGAGAAAACTGTTTCTTGGATCCCAAATAAAGCAAAAACAAAGTCATAATGGACTTTCACCACAGACTCACAGTGTCTCCCTAAGGAAAGCAGCAGGAAGAGTCAGAACTCGTTGGAGCATGCAGTGATCTGGTTCTAAGGTTTCTGACAACCTCCATACCATTTACTGACAATTATTAAAAGAACCTCCTGTGTTTGGAGACAAAGACTGTACGCTGGATTCAAGACTCCTACCTTTAGGCTAAGGGCCAAAGACCCTTAGTTCGTGGGCAATACTTGAATGTTGCTAGGACAAGATTTTATAAAGTGAATAAAGGGTGTATGAAATGTTTTATCTGGTGCCTGACTCTTGGTACTTTTCTCCTTATTGAGATTCAAAAGTACAAGTTCCATCTGGCTGAGAGAGAGAAGACATCTGCATTTATAGCCAACCTCGATCCAGAGGCCTTATCTTAGGAACTGCCCCCTATCCTGGTGCAGGGTTTCTCAGCCTGAGCACCACTGACGCTGTGGGTCCGGCTGCTCTGTGCACTGCAGGATGTTTGGCACCACCCAGGGCCTCTACCCACCGGATATCAGCAGTGCTACCTCACTCCCTGAGTCCTCCATCCCATCCCCCACAGTTGCGACCCCCTAGAATAGTTTCCAGGCCTTGCTAAATGTCCTCTGGGGAAAAAAATCACCGCTGGTTGGGAACCAGTACCTCAGTCCCTCTATTAGCCTTGCTTTTACCATCATCCCCATCTCCTTTCCTCTCCTTATCCCCATTCCCAGGACTTAAGTCCTGAACCTCAATTTATTTCTAGGGGCCCAGTTTCAATCTTACCTGATGCCAACTGACAGTATTTTAGAAGCACTTATTTTCATTAATTCATGAACTGATTGACTGATTCACCTATTTGTCTACTCCCCCCCCCACCCAGGGTTTATGGAGCACCTGTGATGAACCAGGCACTGAGACCATGAGGTTGATAAGACACATCGCATGACAGGCAGTGAAACAGAGCCACGTGCCATCTCTGTCAATAGACCAGTGGGCTTGGGAAAAGCTGTGTCTCTGTTGAGTACAATTTGCCAAGAAATTTACCCAAAGTACCTTTGCTGAAAACAGCTCAGAACAACAAATGGAAACTATGTCATGGATATCCCTGGAATCTTCTCTGACTATATGGAACAGAAGAGAACAGCACCTCGGGCCTACGTCATTTTCCAAATTCCTAGAGCGCAGATCTCTGGGTGACGGTCTTTATTCTGTGACACTCTGAGTTCTAAACTGTCCAAGACCTCTCATCCGAGCTTAGCTGGCCAGAGCCCCCATGTTTTGTACAGAAAGTGGGTGAAACTTCACTTTGTAATGAGAACCAGAGTCTCAACACCATCACCATCCGCATCAGAACTGCTTCTTCTGCCCTTTCCTCTCGGGTCGACTCTACAATGCTCTACCTCCTGAGAACCGATAACCTGGCGTAGATCCAGGACAAGTTCCCAGGGAAGACCAGCCTTACCGACAATTCAAATATTTGAATGGCCAGACCTACCACTGGCAACTCAATGTCAAGTGGTAACATGTCACTTGAACATTGTTGTGGCCTTCCTGAGGTTCATAACCGAGGTGTGTCATCTCCTGATGGACTCGGAGAAAATCACCTATCCTCCAGATTCTACAGACCCCCTCCTGAGGCCAGGTGCTTCGTCCAAATGATCTCGAGATACTCATGTCACACTTACCTTCTTTTAAGCTCAAGCGTGTTTCAAGCAGAAGGTAGACCTGGGAGCTGCTCCCCACCCCCACCCCCCGCCCTCGCAGACCCTCCACCACCCTAGCGCGGCAGGCAAGACCGAGGTGCCCCTTTCACCCATCTTCATCTAGAAACATTTAAGCCAAATACGGACCCATAGCCTGCTGTCCGAGCCAGCTCAGATTCTTCCACGCTCCTCTCACGGCAAGGGGAACGGAGATCACCTTCACAATCAACCTCATCTGAAAAGTCTCCGCAGTCATAGTCACCGTTACACAGAAGCCCCCTTTTGATGCACCTGCCTGCAATCAAAATCAAGAAAGACACTGCGTGTCTAACGACAGATTTCCTTTCTCTTCCTCAAGTTAGCAAATGGACTTTAATGATAGAGGGGAGGGAACAGGCACACACTTGAATTCTCAGAAGCACCCTTTACAGTTATTTCTGAATTCTTTTTTTTTTACGGTAAATCTAAAGATGCCTTGTTTATTAACTAACTTGTGGAAACCAGGAATCATTGTCTCTGAGGCTGCACCTGCCCCACAGTGGGGTGTGCTGTTCAGCATTTACAGACAGCCCTTTGACCGGCCCCTTTTGCACTTGGAAACACGAGCATGTAAAAGCAGGCTTCGTTCTTTTCGCTCTGTGGTGAGCAAGGGGAGCGCAGGGATTACCTGTACCGCATTTAAAGTAATTGCCACAGTCCTCCTCCATGTCTGCACAGGCCTCAGTGGGCTCACACTGTCGTCGGTCTCCCACAGCGTCTACGCACTTCCGCCCGTTGTATTGTCCAAAGATCTCAATGCTCCTTGAGCGGAACTGTGTAAAACCAGCTGGAAATATTAGAATTTCTATGGCCAAAAGGGATAATGATCTAAAACTGCATCCACAACACTGTAGTCCTCCAGACCCAGTTGAGTCGATAGTTTTAAGATGGAAGCCCTAGCACTGGGTGTTATATGCAAACAATGAATCATGGAACACTACATAAAAAACTAATGATGTACTGTATGGTGATTAACATAACATAATAAAAAAAAAAAAAGATGGAAGCCCTAAAAGCAGTCACTAATGTTAAAGTAACACCCTGCATGCCAGGGTTGGCCGTCTCTCCTAGAGCATCCGGGTCCTCATGGCACGCATTTACCATGTGTGCTACGCTGAGATTTCCAGGCAAATCGAGCCTCGTTCACGTAGATATTTATCTTTCCTTCTTAGTTTGGAACTCAGCTGGAGGCTCCCTGCCTCCTAGTCCTTTTCCTGGAGATGCTGGGAACACAGTTTCCATTTGGGGTCATGGGTGGGGAATGACAATGAACACTTACCATTTGTTTGAGGCAAGGGTCACATTCTGACCATTCGCTCCAGGAGCTCATTCTGCAGTCGATGGGAAATGGCTTCTCGTTCTCTCGTATTATCTGTGGGCCATAACTAAGATAACAGAACGCGTCAACTTCATGGCATGACGAGTGTCTGTGTCCACAAAGTCTTCCCGAGCCAGTCTGATTTATTTACTACTTTTCCGCCTTCCAAATCAAAGGACTTATCCTTTTTTTTTTTTTTTAAAGATTTTATTTATTTATTTGACAGAGAGACAGCGAGAGCAGGAACACAAGCAGGGGGAGTGGGAGAGGGAGAAGCAGGCTTCCCGCGGAGCAGGGAGCCCGATGCGGGGCTCGATCCCAGGACCCTGGGATCATGACCTGAGCCGAAGGCAGACGCTTAACTGACTGAGCCACCCAGGCGCCCCCTTATCCTTTTTTTTTTTTTTAAGGTTTTATTTATTTATTTGAGAGAGAGAGAGTGAGAGATAGAGCACAAGCAGGGGAGAGAGGGAGAAGCAGGCTCCCTCCTGAGCAGGGAGACCAATTCAGGGCTCGATCCCAGGACCCCAGGACGCTTAACCGACTGAACAACCCAGGTGCCTCGCAAATCAAAGGACTAATCCTTTTACTAGATCTCTCATTTGGCATTTGATCGTATGCTGCTCTGTGTTTTCATCTGGTCTTCTTTCTTTCTTTCTTTCCTTCTTTCTTAATAGAGCCATTCTAGGTAAAGCACATCAGTTGGACAACTTGGTTCTTGCCTGGATCTATTTTAAGCTTAAACCTAAATGATGTCAAATTAGGCAAAAATAAACTGAAAAGTGTGAGCATCTGGCTGTTTTCTCTTCATTGCACCAGATACCTGGTTACTTGGAGGCATAATAAGCAGGACTCTGGGGAATTATCAGGAGGAAATAGTAGATTATGCAAAAGGAATGTGTAACTGAAATGAATGTACTACATAAATATTAAGAAAGAAGATAAGTGATCTTGGATAGCTCCTTCTGAGCCCACTGCTCCTTCCTGAGCTCCTCTGACTCACTAGGCAGATAATGTTTTGTGGCTCAAAGACTGTGTACGCACCATGCTTACCACCTGCCTTTCACCCTGCTGAGTTATTAGGCTGAGTGGAGAAGTATTTGTAAAGCACTTTCTGGATTCCTAGATGAAATGTGTTTATCAAGTAAAACGTATCTCTAAGTGTTTCAATCTCAGCTTGAAAGTCACTTCCCAGATCAAAGTGATGTATATCAACACGACAGGAGGTCTAACTCTGGGCCAGGAATGCATTAAATGAAGGGCCCTTGATGTATGCCTGCTTCCATCTCCCGGCCATGACAAGCTTCCAGCTTTAGTAAAAGGAAACCTCAGGAGCAGCTCACTCTCCAGGACACATTGTGGCAGACCCAGGCGAAAAAACACCTGCCATAGGAAGGAATCTTTTTGTCAATAAATAAGACAATGTGGCTCCTTTGAGTGGAGAAATATAAGCTAATTAGGACTGCATTCTTAACCCACAGATCTGCCAGTTGGCTTAGTTCATGCAATTCATCAAGACGAAAAGATAATATAACAGCAGTGTCCAACACTCATTTTTTTCAGGACCTTTCCTGATTTTCCAAGTATTATTTAGGAGCTTCTTTCATGTGCTCCCAATGAGGCAATATTCAACGACCTTTATGGAGGGCCTGCTCTGTGTCAGGAATGCTTCTAGTGGCTGGGGCTACAAAACAACGTCCTTACCACCATGGAGCCTACATTCTAGTGGGTGAGATACACAATAAACGAGTATCCAGCAACTATAACATGCAAGATCAGTGAAGACATATGAACTGTAAAGGAAAATAAAGCAGGATAAGAGGATAGAGAGGGCTCTAGGGCTGGGGTAGGGGAAGGAGCTTTCTTATATGGGGTAGTCAAAGAACCCTCTCAGAGGAGGTGTGGTGATGTAAAAATGTGTTCACAATTTTTTTGGTCATTCTTCCCATCAAAGACGGGGTCTATGTGCCCTCCACTTGAAGCCGTTAGTGTCTTTCTTAACGCCTTGATGAGTAGAATGCAGTAGAAGTGAGCCTGGATCACTTAAAGCCTAAGGTTCGAGAAGGCCATGCAAATTCTGCTGGCTTATCTCAAGACATGTGCTCTGCGAGCCTTTTCCCACTATGTATGAAACTGACTACCCTGAGTCTACCACATGGAGGACAGAGAGAAAGAGAGAGATAGAGAGACAGACTCTCAAGGAAAATCAATTGTTCCAGCCCCTAGCAGTTTGGGTCTTCCCAACGCAAATGATAGACACGAGTGAAGAAGCCATGATAAGAATCCTGGGCCCAGCCACCATCTGACTACATCCATGTGGGAGACCCATGGGAACACCTTCACTGAGCCCAGTCAACCCTTGGACTCATGAATCAGTAAAATAATTGGTATTGTTTTAAGCTACTGTCTTGGGATGGTTTGTTACATAGCAAAAGTGACCAGAACAGAAGGTGATACTTGATGAGATACTTGGATGAATTCAGAGAGAAGCTATGTGAGTATCTGGAAAACAAGTGTTCTATACTAGGGGAAAGTAAGTGCAAAGGCCCTGAGACAGTATGTCGGAGGCACAGAAGTACGGTGACAGAGCAGAGTGAGCAAAAAGAGGGTGGCAGACATGCCTGGATAAACAGGTAGGGTGCAGCTCCTTCTTTGTAGGCTGTGGTGAGGAGTTTGGATTTGATTCTGAGCTTGATGGAAATTCTTAGAGGAGTATGAGAACAGATGTAACACCCAGAGTTATGTTTTCAAAAGATTTAAAAATGTCTCTCGTTGTTAGATGGAAAACTGATTAGTGGGGTGTGGGCAGGATGGATACAGGCCAGAAATGATAGTGATTTGGGCTAGAATAGTCACAGTGGAGATAGCAGGCAGTGGGCAGATTTGGGATATATTTTAAAGATAATACCACCAGACGTGCCGTTAGATTGCCCGTGGGAAGGATGCAAATAGAGAAGTCACCTGTGATTCCCCAGTTATTACCTGAGTAACTCTGTGAGTAGTGGTGTAGGTTGGGTGAGGTCGGTAGAGAAATCAATGGGTATGTTTTGGACATGTTAAGTTTGGGATGCCTGTTAGATTTTCAAGAGCTGCTGACTTAAGTAATTAGACATTGTGTTCAGGGAAGCAGGGTGCACCATAGATATAAAATTGAGAGTTGTCAGAATGTAAGTGCTATGTCGCTCCATGAGCCTGGATGTGAGTGTGTGTCTGGAGTAAGGCTGAGGATGAGCCAACATTTAACGGAAATGTTGCAACATGTCTATAGGCTGATGGGAATGATTGGATACAAAGGGAGCTATTGGTGATGCAGGAGGGAGGGGCAGAGTTACAGGAGCAAAGTCCTTGCAGAGGCTGGAACAGAGGAAGCCAGTGCACGAGTGGAATGGTGACAGTCACAGGAACATATCTCCCTTAGCATCGTGGGCTTCACTCGGAGACATTGGCTGAGTTTCAGTCGCTGTATATTTGTTTATATTCCTAGAATCTTCTGATTCGTAGTCAGACGCGTTATCCATTGCGCCACTGGCCCCGTTGTTTATATTCCTGAGTAGACTGTAAGCCCAGTGAGGACAGAGACCCTTGTAACACGTTCAGTATTAAGCTGCAGTTCTTGATGCAATGTCTGGCCCGTGTTGCAAACTCAGTAAATATTTGCTGTACTACCTGGATGAATAAACAAATGACCATCCATGTCCAATAGTAGTTGACAAATAAATTATCTGTTAACTTGTATTGAATGTGAATATTAAGAACACAGGTGTATACCACCAGAGAAGGAGGGAAAACTGACATTTTGGATATATTCAATTTAATAATTAAGCCTAGCTTTTCCATTAACAGATGTTTGGGTACTTTCCCAGATTGTTGAGATAAATTTAACTCAAATAAATGGAATGATAATTGCTAACATTTGGGAGTGTTTAGTCTACATCAGGAACTCTTCGAAGCCTTTATTCTTATAACCTTACTTAATTTTTACATCAGCTCTATGAGATATCTATGACTAGTATTATCACACTTTAATCATTTTTTTTTAAGATTTTATTTATTTATTTGAGAGAGAGAGAATGAGAGACAGAGAGCACGAGAGGGAGGAGGGTCAGAGGGAGAAGCAGACTCCCTGCCGAGCAGGGACCCCGATGCGGGACTCGATTCTGGGACTCCAGGATCATGACCTGAGCCGAAGGCAGTCGCTTAACCAACTGAGCCACCCAGGCGCCCCTATTATCACACTTTAAAGATAATGAACTGAGCCACAGAGATGGTGAGTAATTTTCCTCAGGTTACACAGAAGAGGGCACTTGGTGGCCAGGTTGGGATTCAAACCCAGGCAGTTTCTCTCCAAGGGCCACCTACCTAGCCACTCTTGGGACTTCTAACTCCCAGTTTAGTGCTCCTTCTTAACTATTTGAAAAATGAAGAATGAGATAAATATGAAAATTATAACTACACCAAAACCACACCACCTATACATTCAAAAGATGAATGACAGATTGGGGGAGATGTTTGTAATTCATACCAGAGACAAAGGACTAGTTTATAAAGTGGTCATAGAAATCCATAAGAGAAAGACAAGAAGCTCAACGGGAAAAAGAGTAAAGGACATGGACAGCACAAAGGAAAACATACACATGGCCTTTAAACAGATAAAAAGATATGCAGCGTTATTGTGGGAATCATTTCATAATGCATAAAAACATTGAATCATCATGATGTACACCTGAAACTAATAGGATGTTGTATATCAATTATACTTCAATTAAAAAATAATAAAAAGAGAGAGAGGGAAATTAAAACTATTTGAAGATACCATTTTTTTACCTATGAGACTGGCAAATACCAAAAAGTTGGCCCAGAGCTGTTGGCAAGGCTGTGGGTTAAATAAGCACACTCACACTCTGCTGGGGAAAGTGCAAAGTGGTACAAACCTCCTGGGGCCACGGGACCATTTTAGCAAAGTGACAAAGGTGATTTCCTTTTGACTCCTTTACATCACTTCTGGGAATTAGTCCTCAGGTATAACTATCTACTTGCAAAATGATATAGGACTAAAAATATCCATTGCAACATTGTTTATAGTACAAAAGATTGGAAACAACCTAAGTTTTCATCAATCAAAGATAGATTAACTGGACTGCCTATCCACACAATGGGAAATTAATCAGTTGTGAGGAGAATTAGGAAGTTCCTTCTAAATTGATGGGGCAAGGTTTCCAGGATATATTGTAAAGAAAAAAGGAAAAAACAAAGTACAAGATAGTATGTAAAAGAAAGGGGAAGTATAAGATTACATATGACTCTATGCTTTAATCTCTACTAAAACATTCTGGAAGGATGCACAGAAAGCTAATGAAGGTGACTGCCTCTGGGAATAGGGTAGGGCAAGAGGGGCAGGATTCTAAGTACTTTATATGTAAAAACGTAAATCTCATGAAAAGTTATGGGTGGGGAAATCAAAACTTCTCAATGTATACCTTGTTATATTTTTTGATCTTTGAACCGTGGGTTCAATATGTTGTTATTTACAAATTAAAAAAATATATAATGATAGCTGTGCCCATGGAGCCCTCAAAGCTGCCCCTTCACTGTGCGAAGGACATGGCAGGAATTATCAGGAATTTCACATAGCAAGTCACAGTTGTATTCTCAGTTTGCAGGTGAGGGACAGATTTAGAGAAATCAAGGACTTTGCCTAGGGTCACAAAGCTAATAAACTATGGACCCTGGAATCAAACTCAGGCCACCCAGTTCCAGGGCCTGTGTTAAGAGCTATGACTATACTAACACACTGGTTTTAACATTTCTACTCCCCATTGAGAGCCCTAAGAGATGATGCCCTGCTTATGACCTGTCTTCATGGGCCCTCTTATGTTTATCCATCCCCAACGATTCTCTGGTAGCAATAGCTCATGGTCACTGTGGCTCCAGGTTAAGTATGTGCAGCCAGGTGATATCCCCTGAAGGCTAGCTATAATTCTATCCCTTCCTTTCCTCAATCAGAGAGCCTATCAAAGCAATAGCAAGTTATTATTTTAAAGAATATTTCAGATATACTGAGTTTTGTGCCAGGCACAGATGTTGTAAATACAACATATATATAATAATTTAACTGTCACAGAGACCCTTATTAGATAGGTGCTGTTGTTGTCACTGCTATGGGGTGAATTGTGTCCCCCCACCCCACCCCCCTGCCCAGAAAGTTGAAGTTCTAACCCCTGTACCTCAGAATGTGACCTTATTTGGAAAGAGGGTCTTTACAGAGGAAATCAAGTTAAAGTGAATTCATTAGTGTGGGCCCTAATCCAATATGATTGGTGTCCTTATAAAAAGAGAAAATTTGGAACCTGACAAACATGCACAGAGGAAAGATGATCGAAGATAGCCCTGTGGTGCCTGAGCCAGGCACTGGAATTAGGTAGCTATGAGCCCAGGATGCCAAAGTTTGCCGGCCACCAGCAGAAACTAGGAAGAATCCTACCCAGGGTCTCAGAGGGAGCACAGCCCCACGGACACCTTGATTTCAGACCTCCAGCCTCCAGAATCGTGAGATAATAGATTTCTGTTGTTGGAAGCCGCCTGGTTTGTGGTACTAGGAAATTAATGCAACTGCCATCCTACAGATGAGGGAACCAAGGAACAGAAAGGTTGAGTAACCTGCCCAAACTTACATGGTTCGTTCGTTAGTAATGGCGCCTGGAGCTGAGTTTGGGAAGCCTCGCTCCAGAGGAGTGTGCCATTCTGATCAAATCTGTATTTAAAAAAATCATTTGCAAACTCCAGGTCTCTGGTCGAACTGTGTGTCTCACTTCATGACGGATACGAACACTCTGTTTTGATCTCAACCCTCTATCAAGGGGCAGAGCACTGAGTGTTCGAGCAGGGTAACCCTAACAAACTCCCTGAGGGCCTTGGCGGTGAGAGCGCTCCAACCCAAATCCGGCTCAGCAGTGCAGCTGCTTAGAGCTGGGGGGCCGACCAAGGGGCCTTTGTGGTCCTCCCTGCAACAGCTGAGTGTGGCCGGGACCCGGGGGCACAAACTTCAAAGTGGTTGCAGCCTTCCCCGCAGCCTCTCATTTTTGATCAGCGGGAGTCTCAGTCCAGGAATGTGGGTTGTTTAAATTATTTTTTTAACTTAAGAAAGGGTCAGGGTAAGTACCAGAAGGCTAAAGCAACTTTCAGTAACTGCCTTCCCAAATCCCCCTTGTGCCGATTGCCCGGTAAGTGAAAATGTTTTCTGAATGGAACAAGGCTTTTTAGCTCACGGGGGTAGAGGAAGTGAGGGCACGAAGGAAAGCCTGGTGCAGCCTTTAGCCGAACTCGCAGCTCCGTGAGCCCCTACTGGACGGCGCAGCCCTGTGAGCGAACCACCTGTCCAGTGCGGCCCAGGAGCTGCGGCGGCCCCCGCTGCAGCCGAGGGGCTAAGGAAGATTGCTTGCCACGGCCATCAGATTCCAAAACAGAATTTGGTTAAACCAAGAGTCAGATGACCAAGTGGAAATGGCTGCAGGTTGCAGTGATGTCTGGGCAGAGGGTGAGCGTCTGGGCAGATATTGTCCCCCAGCTACGCTGTCAAAACCCGAAATAGTTCAATGCTGTCCCCAAACTGGATCATCCTGTATTGGATGGTGTACGTGTTCTCCAGCAATTCTGGGTGCAGCATAGGTATTCAGTAAGCACATAGTACCTGCGTGATTTGTTTCCTGGCTCGGCTTGGTATGAGCTTCCTGTTCCCAATTAGGGTCAGAACAAAAGGAGAGAAAGTCAGTCTTTGCAGGAAGCATGGCTGACAGGTCCACAGGATGGTGATTCTTCTTGAAAGGAAGAGCTACAACCCTAAGCCTGAGGTCAAAATGTGTGCCTCTGGACACAACTTGGGATGTCAAGGAGGAGAAGCAAAATGCCTAACCTTCGCCTGACACGGGGGCACAAAGGTGAGGTAGCCCATTGTCAAGAGTGGTAGACAATGGAGGCAGAATGAGGGAGAGGCTAATTTTCTTTCTTTTAAACTTTTCGGATGTGAGATACTGATATACTCAGGTTTATCAATCATACCCTGGTGAAAACCAGCTTTGTTTCATAATTCCAAGTATTGAAAGACTATCTCGGCCTTAACATTTGAATGCCTTGTTTAAAAGAAATTGCTGGAAACGGCCACAGGTTTCCTTAGAGAACTCTCAGAGACACACCCCTGCACTTTTCCTCCCCTTTTTTCAAACTTTGAGGCTATCTATCTCAATGTGGGTTGACATTTTTTTTTTTTTTTTTTTAACCTGCTTTCCTGCTAAGAAGTAGACCTTGAAATATCAAAGCTGGCAGTGAAATTCCAGAGACAAACAGAAAAGCGACTCACCTAGCAGTGGGCCCAGCGGTCAGGACACTAATTTCTATAATGCACAGAGCCAAGGCAAACCTCTGGCCCGCAGACATCTGCTCTGGCTAAGACGGCTCCGCAGTGTATGGCCGATAGGTCCAGCAAGGCGTTTATCTGCAAGGGGCCGGAGAACTGGGGGAACAATTATTGCTTGTTTTCGGTCAGGATTTTTGTCAAACTGGGCTTCCTGGGAGCCAAAGTCCAATCAAAGGAGAGTCATGTCGTAATTCTTGGCCTACTGTTTTCTCATATTGATGAGCATATTCGGGCACCCAGCCCGTGAGTGCTGAATTGACTAAGATTAGTGGGAGCGTTGAAAACAAAACAAAAAAAAACAAAAACAGAAGAGAACTCCAGTGTTTCTCATCTGGGGAGACTCTGGGTGGAAGGATGAGAGAGTGTGCAATTTGAGGGAAAATGGGTCTGGGGATGGTTCTCAGAGAGGCATAAATTAGTAAAAGAAATTAGTCAAAGAACTGTGGTGACTGGAAAGGAGGCAGGGACCGATGTGGCCATCTGAGACTGCGCCGTGTGGGTTATTGATGCACGGGTACCGCCAAGTGCAAAATGCAGTTACGAAGCTGGCTGTCTTTATAGACCCGGTGGATCATGCTGAAGAATCTAGGTAAACTCCTTAAGGCGTGTACACCATCCCACAGGAGGGTACGTTCTCCTTATCTCAGAAATGCGCCTGTCAGCAAGATAGATCCTGAGATGGAGCAATTTGCTCCAGTCCATCCTAAAGGACCCCCTCCCCTGCATATTTTCACTTTCTCTGGGACTGGTGGAAAGGGTAAGGTGTTTTCGAAGTGCCAGAGAATGTGGGTGTCACGGCTGCTCTTAAAACACTGGTTGTTCGATAGAATGACCCGGAACCTGTGCAAAGCCATTGATGCTGGCCCACCCCCCACTGAATTCTAATTTAATTGATCTGGGATGGGACCCTGCATCCGTATTTTTTTAAAGCTTGCTGGGTCATTCAAATGCGTGGCCAGGGTCGGGATTTAGAATGACCAGCTTGAGAAGCAGTATTTCATTAAGTTTTTGAAAAAATGTCTGCGGACACAGGACTTAAGGGGCCTTCATCAATACTTATTAATTACAAAGAGGCAATTTTCATGCATTAGCACATACGCAGTCTGATAAAAAACAGAGGGTGGGGTTGGGGGATAACAGACAGCTAGTTTTTCCAGCATCACCCTACCTTTCCACTAATGGTCCTCCTTAGAGTAAAAGTTATTTATTCTCCACAGGCTTTCTTGCCTTCCTTTCCTTTTCATGTGGAGAGTTTGAGATCTCTCATGGGGCTAATTTCATTGGTACCTGAGTTTGTTGTCAACCTGCAGACAGTGCAGAACTGCGAAGTAATGCGGTGATTCGAATGTGGGCAGCAACCCTCATCTCCATGCCCATGATGAAATCTATGCCCGAGACACTTCTTGCGAGTCTTAGCTAATGACAAGTGGGCTGCACCCAGATAGAGTAGGAATTTGTCAAGCATGATGGAGCAATGCTGGACTCTTACGTGGCCTCTCTGGACCCTGCCAGGGTACTTATCAGAAAGGACTTGGAAGCAGGCAAGATAAGATGATGCTTTATGCTAGTTAGGCTTAATGCTCATTGGTTAGACTTTGCGATACTTGAATTGATAATTAGATGTGAATGAACATTGAAAATCACCTCTGTCCTTGGAGACTGACTGAGTGTCCCTTACCCCCCCACCCCGGGTGGAAGAGGGGAGAAGGGGAATTCCTTAGCTGGCTGGTTAAATGCTGAATTGCTCTGTAGAAGTTCTATTTATTTTATCCCCATGGTTCAGGCTAAATGTAATGTAGCCAAGGAATGGGAGCAGTAGAATAGAACAACAATATACTAATTATATATTATATGTTAGTGACATGTAAAATATAATATACATTACATTTTTGTAGTGCTTTTAACTCCTCTTTGCCCTTAACATCTATTATGTATCTGACATGTTTTTAAATGAAGTTTATACTTCAGTTATATCTAGGGGAAGTGAAGCATGCTAGACTAGAGAAGTGAAAAGAATAACGTTTTTATTTAATATGTAATGGCTTTCAAAGTAAAGAAAGGATAAACATTTATCAAACTTTTATAATGTGTCAAGCTAACAGACATATATTGTAGCTAATATATACATACATATATATATATACATATACACACACATATATATAAAGTCTCATTTAATCCTCAAAATAATCCATTGTACAGTTGAGGAAACGGAAGTGCCCTGAGATTACATCATTTGCCCAACATCACCCATCTGCAGTTGCTCAGAAACTGGCATTTGAACTTGGTGTGCCTGCCTCCACGTCTCCGGCTCTTCCCACCACGCAGCAGGTCTGTTGCTGTTATTGTTTTAATTATGTCACGTTAAACAACATGAAACTATAAAGTTTCTCACTAAACCCCCTCAACTCCGTAAAAGGTAGGCTTCTGGTTTAGCTTTACAGATGAGGTGCAGAGAAATACAGCCAAGACTATGAGGACAAAGCGGCAGAAGTGGGATTTGAACAAACATGTCTTCAAATTCTGATGCCACACTTTTCCACTCTGCTGAGGGCTCTCAAAGTTTTCTCCGCTCAGGAGCCTTAAAAAAAATTGTTTTTTTTAATTTCCCTTTGGTTTCAATTTGCTTGGGAACTTTGTGGCTCTAAATTATATTTATTGCACAGTAATAATAGTTTCTCCCGTTTTTAAGGCAGAGCCACGCACATGTGTACATTAGAATGTGCGACCATCAGGCAGAAACACTTATTTTTACTGAAGTGATGTAAATGTGTTGGGCATAATTTCCATCTGGATCTCTTAAAGTGATGCAAGCAGTTTTCTGGAAGTTTATTATTAGAAATTTCATGGACTCCCTCAGTGTCCAGAGATCCCACGTAGGAGCTGCCATCTCATTCTGTATCTGTTTCTGACTGAATCTGGAAAGATCCACGGATCGTACACCACTACACTGAAATTGTAGTACTTTCACTTAAAACACACCCACCCACCCGCTGGAGGGAATTAGAATTGTCAAATGGCAGCCCCTTGGTTTGGGGTGTGTCCTGCTTGCTGCTATATTCTCAACGTCTAGGATGGTGCCCACCACTATTAGGCTTCAACAGAGAGTGGGAATTATGCATTAATAGATGAATAAAGAAATATAGATGAGGAAAATTCTGTCCAGGAAGGGGAGGTGACACTCCCAAGGTCACACAGTCAGGGGTGGGGCAGCATCAGATTCTAGCTCTCTTCACTGTGGCTTCCATGCCGTTTTCATTACAACACTTTCAAACAAGCTCTTTTATAAAGAAAGAGGAACAGTTTCTCTACGGAGTGGTTCTGGGGCTGTGTGCGAAGTTCAACGGGAGTGATGTAAGTCTGGCGATCCCTTTACAGTAATAAGAATTCCTGTGGCTCAGATCTGTTTACAGTCACATGGAAGTATTTAGGGCCCCCTTGATTGCATTACAGCACTTTGTTTAAGGAAAGACTCAAGACAATCCCTTGTTCTTTTGAAGTTGACAAGATCTGGCTATGCCCCTTCTGTTTACCGGCACTGTTGACTGTCTGCATTCACCCAAGACTTTAGACACTGTCTTCTCTCTCTCTCCCCACACTAACTCCAGCCTTTCCTTTACTGATTTCAGTGTTCTCTGAAGTACCACCCCACCTCACTCTTTCTTGATTCCATCAGTTCTATGAATATTTATCTTAATCCCATCTAGCCCACTGTCCTAGTGTCATTCTAACACATGTAATGGCTTCATCTTTGCAAATGTCAATATCCTACTGTCTGATCACGATTTCCAAGTCTTCGGGTTACCTCATCCTCTTACTCTCAATATCCCCTTTCTTTGCTTTATTGAACATCCAGCTCCTTGATCTCTCCACTTTGGGTTTCTCTTATTGCACTTGCCTTTGTTAGCCACACTTTTTTTGCAGTCTGTATCAACTTTCTTCCCTTACTACACGGTTATGCTCAACCTATTGCAGTTTGCCCTTGGCCTTCATTACTCCACGGAAGACCTCCTTATTGCTAAATTTGGTGGACACTTCTTGCCCCTGATCTTTGTCCCATAGGGGCATCTACCTGGACTGTCCATTCTTATGCTTTAAAGCTCTCTGTTCCTTTGACTTTTGTGGTACAACATTTCCTCATCTTCTGCTTCTCTTTTGCCAGCTCCTCTCCCTTGTCTATCATACAATGCTGATATTCCTCAGGGGTCTGTCCTCTACCCTCTCCACTTGTCAGTCTATCCCTTCTTTTCTTATCCACTCTTAAGATTAAGCCTACTCTTCAGAACCAGAAGTCTCAAAAGAGTGGTTGGTTGAAATTCCCTTACCAGAATCTTCTGGGTTCTTGTTTTAGAAGTATAGATATCTAGAAGTGAAACTTTTTGAAAAATGCAAACTTATGCTGTTACTTTCCAGCTTAATAATTTTCAAGTACTTCTAAGAAATCTCAAGGTGGACTTTGATTTCCCTATGGTAATTTGAACTTGCTCTGTCTAAAATCATGCACATAATTCTTGCCCTGTCCTCGTCAAGGAAGCTCTTCTTATATTCTTTATTTTCATTAATGAGTCACCATTAACTGTCTTTCTGGTTTCTATATCTGGAAGTCATCTTTCTTTTTATTGCATTAGTATTTTGACAATATGCATAGTGGTAAGTGGGCTCATAATGGGTACTTCATAGTTATTTCATAGTTATTTCAGAGTTACAGGATCACTGGTAGATTTCCCTTGGCTCAGGTATGTTTGGTTTCTGGAACTTGGAACTTTGACAAAAAGAAACTAGTATTCGAGGACAAAACTATATACAGATTTATCAATTAACAGCGTGTAAACACAACTAAATATAATAGGGGATGATGCTTGGCAAATCCTAAATTCTTTTTAATTTTCTCTTTTAAAATTGTTTTTTTTGACTCTGCAGCCTCAAGGCTGAACTGTGAGGCTTACTGACCAGGGAAGGAGATGGTGGAATAAAGCAGTGATTGGTCACCCATGAATCTCAAAGTAGTGGGGTAGCATGGCTTGTGATGTAAATAATGTGAGAAGACTGCCTCTCCTGCTGGAGTAGAGCAGTTGTGAGAGGG